ATTCCAGATATTTGAAGTTTGACACAGTCAGACAGATGTTATCTACAACTAATCAATAATTATCAATATCATGAAACACTTATTGTGATAAGTTTTTCAGCCATATCACTCAGCCCTAAGCTAACTAGATAAGTATTAATAAATTAAAGCCCTGTAAATAAATGACACATTTCTATGGTTCTCAAACATTGAGGTTTAAATGAAGTGTGCTCTACTAATGTAGTAATCAAGTTTATTAAATAAAAAAACTATTTCTAGTTGTCAGGATGTTGAATTTGTCAGATGTTTATTAAAAGCTGAGGCATAATTAAAAAGTGGAGACCAAMCTTTCAGATGTGGATTCTTTCACATTCAGTCACTTGTATTTGCTTAGTATCTAATTTCTGCTTTGTGTGTGTGTGGGCGTTATTAAACGGCCCAGAGAGACGGTCAACCAGAACTCTGCAAGCGGGTCTGGACCTTTTCATATGCTGCCAATAAAAAGGATGGAAAAGATCAAATGAGACGAATGGATCCTTGTTTTCAYCTTAACGCAGGTGTCTGTGAGCTTCCAGCTTCTTTTTACTGCAAGACATTAATAAAAAACAACTTTATTCTGCTGCTTCAGATGTGGGGTCATGTGTTTCAGGCCGGCTCGCATATATTAAAGCATGAATACTCCAAAGCCGTGCCTCGTGGGAGCTGAAAGGCGAGCCCTCTGCTCTTTCTCGGGACAATCGATCCTTTGTTTGGCTTTAGCGATGCACAGGGGAGTGGTGTGGAGCAGCACATACCTGTCAGAACCTGAGAGACAGTTTTTATCAGACACCCGAGCGCTGCTTTTCCCACATTACTCACACACACAGAGAAAGTGGAGCAAATACTTGATGCAGGATTGAAAACAAACACCACTTTAATCTAAAAACAGGTTTCTGTGACTCAGTGTTATAAATAGAGAGGAAGTAAAAGCTGAACACGCTGAAGTTTATTTCAAAGAATCAAACTAAAAATAACAGAAACGTTAATGTTTACCTGTTCGTTAGAAGCTGGTTAACTATTAAGAATCCAAGGTTCAGCTTTTCCCTCGAGCTGGTCTTCGTACTTTGACAGGACCTGTTCAAAGAATTTTTATGATGTTAAAAGAGACGTGGTTCTTGTTCCTGATTCTCTGCATCAAGTAAAGAACTCAGTTTAGATTGAGATTTGTCTCATTATTATTCAAACAATTAAAAAGTGTTTCAGCATGGATCTTTCTCCTCAGTTTTTATGCCTTTTCAACAATTTATAGGTCAAAACCTTCAGCTCCTTCATTTAGGCTGTGACTTTTGGTATTTCAGCAATTTATACCTTTTGAGATATTCAGCTTCTTTTGTTCTCTTTGAGATTCATTAGAACTGTCTTCAGCCTAAAATCCTTAAAAATAGCTCAACCTTTCCTGCATTTTACATCTTTTGTTCTGGTTCTGCCTTTTTTTATTTCTTTGTGCTAATTTTAGCTTCTTCTTAGCTCTTTTAACTATTCTGATCATTTATTTTTTGTTTCTTTCTGCTAATCTAAGCGTTTTATGCTCATTTTAGCCATTTTCTGCAATTTAAGGCACCTTTTTTTTTTTAGCAATTTTAAACTTATTTTAGCCTTTTTCAGCTAAATTCACCTTTTGTGGTAACTTTAGCTACTTTCAGCTGCTTAATTCAGCAAACGTGGTTCAGCTTTTTCAGCTACTTTACAACAAATAGCTTCATTTTTGTGCATTTTTAGCACAAGATTTTCAGCATCAAGGATTCATGCTGCATTTTTACACAAAATGCTAATTCTTTAGATAATTTTATTTTTATTTAAACGTTAGAATTAGGGCTGTGAAATTAATCGAATTAACTCTGATTAATTTTAGTGCTGCATGGGCATAGATTAAAAATTTTAATCGCGATTAAAATTTACAATCACTTTACTCTGAATATGTAGGTTTGTTTATTACAATGCACTCAGTGCATGGCAGGTCATGTTTGTAAATGAGAAGTGGTTCTCAGACAGTTTACTTGGATAAATAAAGGTTCAATAAATAAAATACATAAATAAACTCCATATGTAACACATTATACAGGTTTTTTTTTCTTTTTGTCTTCTTATGGTTTATTTTATCTTATTTATTTATGTTTTGTTGACAGCTGTGACCTTAGTATCTATCTTTCATTCCTCATGTAGAACTCATTTAGAATGAAAATCCTTGAATTCTTGATTTAACCTCATTATTTTGTACAAAATTTAACTGACTCAAATATGTTTGGAGCATTTTTTAGGTCCTGATTTTTGTTGTTTTTGTCCAGTCGAGGWRATATTTTCATGATTTATTATTGTATGTATTTCTTAAGCACCAATTTTTTTTCAAAATAAAGACATTAATTAATAACTTAAGTAATTTATTTTACCAATATGCAGTAAAGTTTTATATTAAGTTTAAGATTAATCGTGATTAATTCACAGCTACCTTGGAATTAAGAGATTAAAATTTTAATCATTTGAGAGCCCTAGTTAGAATGAATTTGCTTCTTTCAGGAGGCTGTCTTTAGTTTATACTTGATTTGACAAGAAATGTGTWCTTCACCCAAACATTATGCTTTTGTTTATGGTTATCTTTTCCAGACATTTTTAAAATATTAGGTTGGAGATAAATGTAGTTTCATCTTTCAGTCAAATCTGAGGCACATTCCACAGATTCAAGCAAATTAATAAAACTGTGCTTCAAGCTAAGATACCCTGATTGTTTTACAGACTTTTTTATACATTCATTGAAACTTTGCAGACATGATGTGTAGATAATGTTTGTGTACATGAACTTGAATAAAAAAAAACATCCATTTGTTTTACTCATGATAGACATAATACAGCCATTGTGAAACAAAGTGATAAGAACAGATTAACAGAGGTACTTAATGCACTTTTCACCACTGCAGACTAGTATTGATTATTTTATAGACTTTTGTCACAGAGTAATAGAGAAGTCATGCAGACTTATTGTTACACCAACTGTAAATTAAAACCTGTAGCATCAGCTCACCTGCTGCACCTGTGAGGCTCCACGCAGCACACGGTTGGAGCCTGTTTGAAAAGCTGGATGAGAAATGCTGCTGTGTCACAGTTTGTATTAACTGAGGAGAACTGTGAGGATCAACATCCTGTGTTTGTTCTGCACACACAGCCGGCACCAAGTGATGCAACAGAATGTCACCGTGATCTGCAGTTAGCTCGAGATGCTAATGGGAAATTAACCAGCCTTTGTTTTCTTTCTCTCTTCCTCCTTTTTTTAATCTGAAACTTTCCCGTTTTTGTTTTAACACCTTCCTCTTCTCTACTTCTCCTCTCTACTTCTCCTCTCTCGTGCCCTGCAGAGGAAGCCGACTACTCGACGCTGGGAACCGACTCGATGACCAGGAAGAAGAACACGGTCCTTTCGGCGGTTCTCCTCCGGCCCGACGCGAACAAGAAGAAACCTCCGGTGATCATCAGCCTCCCGAGAGACTTCCGCCCCGTGTCCTCCATCATCGACGTGGACATCCTCCCGGAGACGCACCGGCGCGTGCGCCTGTACAAGCACGGCCAGGAGAAGCCGCTGGGGTTTTACATCCGCGACGGCTCCAGCGTGCGGGTGACCCCGCAGGGYCTGGAGAAGGTCCCGGGCATCTTCATCTCCCGCTTGGTGCCCGGCGGCCTGGCCGAGAGCACCGGCCTGCTGGCCGTGAACGACGAGGTGCTGGAGGTGAACGGCATCGAGGTGACGGRCAAGTCTCTGGACCAGGTGACGGACATGATGATCGCCAACAGCCACAACCTCATCATCACCGTGAAGCCGGCCAACCAGCGCAACAACGTGGTGCGCGGCGGCGGAGGAGGAGGGACTGCGTCTGGTAGCTCGGGACGCTCGTCGGACAGCGGCGCCAGCTACTATGGTTACTCGACRCACAGCGCCGCTGCCTCTGTACCGTCGCACATCATCCAGAACTTCCCCGCCGGGGAGCTGGAGAGCGACGAAGAGGACGAGGACCTGGTGATCGAGGCGGGAGGCGAGGCCATCAGACACGCCCACTCCAACTACAGCATACACTCAGTGCCTCGCTACGAACCGCACCTCAACCTCCGCACCAACACAAGCTCCGCCCACAGTGTCCACACCAACGGGACCCTGCCGGGCAGCAGCGGCTCGCTCAGCAAGTCGGCCACGCCCTCACCGGACAGAGCGAAGGAGAGGCGGAGCCTGGAGGAGGAAGGCACGGTCATCACGCTGTAGACTAATCACTGGAAAACAAACACTCAGACGCCTCCGCGAGTTCCAGGAGGCGGGAGGAGGGTCAAACATTTTCTCATCACACTGTGACTCAGCGTTACACTGATGCTAACGTCTGTATCCTAACATACACACACCACGCTCCTCTGTACCTGCCAATCATCGCTCTGCGGTGATAATTACCACCGTCTGCATCCAGGAGCACAACCTGCAGAACCACAGCTGATCTGAGCTCACATGTTCTTTGTGTTTAAATCTGTGAAGAGGTCCATCTCATAACAAACACTGAGGCTCGAGCATTCATCACCTCCCAGTTTCCTCCTGTCTTTATTGAAACAAAATATCAGGGTAATGCCAAAGCAGCTGACCAAATACTGACGTCTGACCCGGGTCCAGTTTTTAATTAGGTTTAAGCCACTGAAAAATCAATGTTTTTTAACAACAGTTATTACTCATTTTGTTTTGACTTGGCTGTGGTCACGACTGACTGATTTCAGCCTGTTTTTATATCACCAGTTCATTTCTTTTTATTGTTGGTGAGAAATGTGCACTTTTTTTTATTTTAAAATTCCTGTCAGATCAGACAAATGTTCCAGTCAAATTTCATTTTTAACTTGGTAGTGTCTCCCTGGGCTGCAGCTGCTGGTGGAACAGAGTTTATGAGAGAGTTTCCAGAATGTCTCACGATGTCCACAGGGGTTCGGTTTCATCTCTCTCAACTCGCAGTTTTGTTGTTTGAATTTTGAACATTCAAAAGCGTAAAAGTAAAGAGCCCCCCCCCCCCCTCTCCTTTTGTATTATTTTATACTGTTTATAATTAAAGTGCCTGTGACATGCATATTCTTCAAATACAAAAAGTCAAAAGAAAACATCTTTATATTTAAGAAAGTTGGAATAATACACACAATTTAACACATTTTGTCCCATAACTGGTATATTTTCTTTTGAACTTGGCTCAGTCAAAGTGAAACAGGAAGTGACATCAAAGGGGAACTCTTTAACAAAGAAAACTCTCTGGTCTTTGTTTATTGAAACAACATTATTTAAACTTTAACTCTTCTTCATCTCTCTGATAAAGACTCAAAATAATCTTAAAAAAAACATCAGATTCTTCTCTACAGTCTGGKTTTTTAGCTGTTGTAGAAACGCTCTGTTCACATGCACACATTCCCCTTTGACATCACTTCCTGTTACTTCACATGTGAATATCTCAACAACTGTTCATCTCAGCAACGTGAAATTTATTTTGCATTATTTTATCAATGTCCTCTTTCTAAAAATGCACTCATATGTATTACAAAAATTTGACATCACAGGCACTTTAAGTCTAAAAACCTTGTTGACGATAATTATTTAAAATCTGAAACCCTAACTCCGCCTATTTTCACTGATAATAATGTGCGTGGCCAAGAMTACAGTTTTGCGAGCCATGCACGACGATAGTGACCCGGCTGGTTGTGAACACTGCTTTGTGAATTTTGCACGACTGAGTCACGTTCAGGTTAACAAGCCTCCAGCAGTAGCAGCTTTTTATTCTGATGACTTCGCCTGCTGCAACATTTAATGTGATCATTTTTTCTTCCCTGTTCTGTCTGGACCATAAYTTAATGTCGTTTAACGATGTTTTCTTTCCTTCAACAAGCCCTGATAACGTTTTMTTTTCCATTTCTCTTTGAGTTTGTTGGTGCGTGGCCCAAAAATAAGTGTTGGCAGAGGTGGGTTCCAGCGACTGAAGAACGCCCTGATTGGACTGAGTCACGTAGAAACACACACATGCAGGTACACTTGGCACAAACAGAGTATTTGTTAAAGGTGAGACAGGTGGAGCTTGTACAGCTCGGTCTGCCGGGGCACTTTTTCTGCTTTTAGATCCAAAAATCATCAGAATCCGTTGAGGATTATTAAAAAAACCAATATATTACTGTTTTTACTGCACTCAGTTAAAAAATGTGTTTTTAAAACCAATTGGAAACATTTCCTCACATCCTCACATCAAAGAGATGTTTAACATTTTCACAGTGAGCGCCATGCAGACACTGTTGTTTCTCTTATTGATTCTCGGAGCCGTCGTGTTTCAGTTTAAAGTGCTAAGTATCGACTTTTATTTTAATTTACATGTCAAAATAAAATCAACACACAGTCACTTTGATTATTGTTTGCTGGCTTTTTTTTCTGTATCATGTTCATGTTGATTATTTGTTGCTCTGTTTACTGTCGGGCTGTCTGAGAAGCTAAAAGTGTGAAAATCCAGACTGGAACCAACATGATTCTGTTCCACAGCTGCACTCGGCCTCGTGAGGCTGTGAACGCTGCTGCGATAAACGAAACTTAGTAATGATCAATAATTTATTATCCGTCTCTAACTTTACCACAGGACACTGGGATTGTAACCGCATCAACATTTTTATTTATTCTGTAATCTGTTTCCTGCATATGTTCTTTCTTTGTACACTTTATTTTTATATCAGATATGTTTATTTGTGTTTTCAGAATGATTGTTTTTGGTTATAAATGTCATGGTACGGTAGATTTTCCTTTCAGTCACTGATTTTATCACTTTGCTTTAAAGTATCAAGAGGATCTGTGCAAGAAATGAAACACTTTGCTATTTTTTTTCATACTGTGAATTATTATTATTATTGGCGGCAGAGTGAAAGTTGTTTTAACAACCTCAAAATAGGCAAATGTTTTGCTTTGAGTCAGTTTTTTTTAAGTGATCGAGCAATGATTTTTGTCTTTGCCAGATAAATTCTACAATATAGATTTGTAATGAAGAATGTCAGTATTTTCGTATCAACACTATATAAGATGTAGATTTTTATCATTTGAAGGAAAATGTTTTACGATTTGATGGGAAAACCTAAGAACGTTTCTGTAACTGATCAGTAAAGTTGGGTAAAATAAAAATATGTAGCAATATTTGCTGTTTTTTGTCTTTTATTCTGCTGTTTTTTTACGGTTTACTGTTAGTCAAGTAGTAAACCTCACATAAAATATGGTAGTTATTTTTTTAATGTTTAATATCATTTTATTTCTGATGCTCTGTTTGAAGTTTAGCAGCTAAAGATGCTACATGCTACACAGCAATGTTTGTAAGAAAGTAATTTGTTTTACTTAATTTGAGATAAACGGCATAAAAATTGAAGTTCTACACGGTTTTTAAGTGGACTCAAAATTAGTGGATCCTAATTTTAGCGGAAGCTAATCGATCCATTAGCGGTTTCCAAAGTTAGCGAAAAAGCTAATCTGCTAAATGATAAGCTAGTTTCGTTCACTGTTAGCAGATTAGCGGAGCTGTGCCTACCTTTGATAGATTTTTTTTAAAATAAATCTTTCAGAAAATAGATTAGTAGTAGTACTTTATTAATTTCATTTGAACACAGATTTATAAAGTTAAAAAACATGCAATGAAAATGAAATCAAACGAAAGGCAGCAGAAGAAGAATAGATCTCATAATATCGGCCCCTTTTTTATACCCAAAAAATGTTCAAACGTAAAGTAAAATACAACAAAAATTAAAAATAGACCAGACATGGGTTTTTACGATATAAAAAGTGTACATTGCCATGTAGCATGTCATTGCAGCATGGCTTTGCCTGCAGCADTRGACTTGCAGAATGAACTTTGACCAAGTTCAAATGTGTTTTCTAAACCAGCTTGTGCCTGTCACATCAGCAGGTGTTTGTAATTAAGGTAATTGTGTGACAATATGAASTTKGAAGAGATTTTTTGTTAAAGTTGCATTAGCTGGGTTTTGAACCCTGATCTCCCACATGAAAATCCATGACAATAGACCATTAGACCAATGGAGCTGTGGCAGAAGGTGGTGGCAGGGGTTTGTATGTGTGCAGAAAGAGGCCACATTGCCAATACAATTATTGACACAAAAATGCATAATATTACAACAATCGAGCAGTATTAAGACAATATTATAGTAAAACATCAAAATACAATCATATTAGTATTGTAAACACTGAACTACTGAGTTGAAATATTAAACTATGGTGCAGTACCAAGTTGAGTACAGCATGGGRCAGTATTGGACCAATAYAAGGCTCCATTGACTSCCATTATAATTCATTAAACATTAATATTTCATAAACTATGAGTTTTACAGGCACCAAAAGACATAGACATCATTTGGCACAGGGGCTTTACAGCTTTAAATTACAATGGCAGCTTTAGGACAAAGTWTGCAGGAGGAGAAGCATGGCAAAGTTGAGATGACTTGGATGGGAAACGAATCACAATAGTGWGCATTGCATTGGCAATGCACACTGAATAGCTTAGTGAATCAACACAACTCGATGTTTCAGCCACAGCTAACATTAGCAAACATAAAACAGGCTAAAGCTCAAGGCTGCTACATAAAGAGATGTTAGACATCAGTCCATCTTCGAATGTTCGAATGGACATTTTTATACTGAAAAACTGGTAGCAAGAACTATAAATGTAGCAAAATGCTAGCTAAAAGTTAATTCTAATATGCAAGCTAAAGTTTGTTTAAAAGAATTAAACTCAAAAATGATTTTGAAATTAGAAAAAATTTTAAACTGAAAATTTGTTTTGAAGCTGAAAAAAGATTTTGCAGCTAAAACGATATTAAAACTGAAAAAAAGTTGAAGGTGGAAAAAAAGCTGAAAACTCTCAGATTTTATTAATTAATTTATTTATTCATTTTCAAAGTTTTTGTTTTAGTTTCAGATGTTTTTAAACAAACTTTATGACCCAAATTTAATACAAAAACCAGGAAACAATTTTGTCTTCTTTGCTTCGTTTCATTGAATTTGTGTTTTGTTTTAATTACATGTTGATTTTCTTTTGTTTATTTTAATGAATGAACCCTAACCGAATAAATTAATTAAAAGACAGGAAAACAATAGATTTACGAAGTTAAAAACACGAATTTACTTGTACTTTGTCCATGTTACTTTATTTTATTATTTTTGCTTTGTGGTGTTTTGCCGCCCTCTGGTGGACAGTTTGTGAATCGCGTCACTCGTAGTTCATTAAAAGTTCAAACTCCTCAACTGTGACAAATAAATCTTCTGTAGCTCTTTTAAACGATGTTTACCATTTTATCCTGTTAAAATATGAAATAAAAATGTATCTACCAGCTTCTAATAAATGGACACGTACTCTTCTGGGAGGGTTTCTGTTTTGAAATCGAGAGCTCTGCTGTAGTAAAGACAGCTGAGAGTCACGTGACGTGACGTGGAACCAACATGGTGGCGCTGAGCTGAGACAGAAGCCCTACCGGACGACAGCTTGGCTTTCGTTAGCTTTCCTCGTCACCTGCTTTTCGGCAGGGCCAGGCCGGTGATGACGGCCTGAGAGGGGATCGGTTACACGGTCGAGAGATGCAGGAACAGCAACACAAGCCGCCGCCGCCGCAGCAGCAGCACGCGCAGTCAGAAAACAGCAGAACCAAGAGCATGTTTCTGTCCAGGGCGCTGGAGAAAATCCTCTCTGACAAGGAGGTGAAGAGGAGCCAGCACTCCCAGCTTCGTAAAGCCTGCCAGGTGGCGCTCGGTACGTGGTATATTTCACCTTCTAATCCCTCCCGCCTCTGTTTAATGTCGAGTTTTATTCATTTATTTTTGCTTGTGTTTGGCTTCTTGGATGAGCTATTAGCATTAGCACCTGATGGCCTTTAGCGTCTGCTGAAACTCTCTGTTACCGGCAGCGGTAATTAAACCAATTTGTGTGTTGTCATCACGTTTATATTTTGTTATGAACCCTTCTTTGTGTTGCTAGCCATCAACTCTATCAAAACATTGAGGTTAGCAGGTTAAAACGGAGCTGCCGTTAGCTGGTTAGAGCTAGTTTAGCTAAACCGACCAATCCTTGTGTTGTACGTAGCACTGTCATCCAGCCAGACAGTCCAGTCCTGACAGTACGGCATTCCGTTTTAACATATAATCAAATCTCACTCTTTTTTTTCTGCTTTTATGGAAAGATATGATGGGAGTTCTTGTAAAAAAAAAAAAAAACCCAACAAGAACAGTTGTAGTACAAATCATGTTTCAAGTTTTACTCAAAGTAAACAATTTATGAGCTCTGAAAGCCTTTTAATTTGTTTAACAAACTATTTTAACATAAATTGGGTTGACTGGAAATGTAACACTGTGCATTTTATAAAGGTACTCATGCCAAAGCAGCTAAATAATCAAAAAGTTACCCTAAACTTTGTCGAAGAGTGCAGTTTGACAGACAGTAGTTTTGTGGTTATATTGAAATGGAACCTCTGAAATGCAGGTATGCATGTAATGTAAACAAAGCACAAACTGGAGTCACATGATTCACACATATTAGACTGACTTTACTTTGTATACGTAAACAAATAGGGAAAATYGGATATATTATCGGGGGAAATATTGTGCTGATTTACTTCCTTTTTTATTATCATTTTTATCCAGTTCTTATGACTTTGTAGTGAGTACCTTTTTTAATTCCTCCAAGGCAAAAATAACATTTTATAAATATGGAGGTTATTTCTATCCACAGTCAACACTTGAACAAAATTATGTCACCATTTCTAATGAACTAGATGTTAATTTTAGACGCGAAAAATATACTATATATAATATACCAAGTGAGGTTAGCCACTGAAACGGACTGAATCTTCAAATCATATATTGCTAACTATTAGATGATAAACCTGCCTGCCATAACTCCTGGATACTCAAACATTCCCCTTCACCATTCACCACATGTACATAATGTTTCATAAGTCTGGATGCTTTTGGTGTTTATAATTCAACCCTCACTCTCACTCATTGTACAATTAGGGTCTTTTATCTTGATAAAAACATTTAAAATGTCTGTTTTTTCACACAGCTGAATTTGTTTTCGTAAAATAAAATCAGTACAATGAAAGAAAAGTTATATTACGTGTATAGAGATGAGTTTAGTTGTAAAAGCAAAGATTTAAACCTGAGTTTTTGGACAACGTGAGGTTTTGTTTGCTGTTTGCCCCGGCTTTCAGTTACGCTCTCATTATTCATGAAACGAGTGAAACGCAACACTCCTTCCATCCACTCACTTCTTTTATCACTGTGGACTTTCTTCTTGTTGTTTTTGACCATTTATTTATGTAAACAAATCATACAGTGGTGTAAGATTTTTTTGTGTGTGTCAGTCTTTGGTTTTGGTTTATATTTTGCAGAAATATCAGCAGCTTGGAGGATTTTAGCACCATTCTTTACAGACAAGTTTAGGATTATCTGGTAAATAATAGTTCTTCCTGTTGCGCACTTTAAAATGTGACAGCTGGCTGTATACGTGCAGATTTAATAAATTAACAAGTAGAAGGAACAATCTAACAATATAACTTTACATATTTTAGCTTTATTTTATTAAAAGTTCTACTTGTTTTCTTTAGTCCGTCATTGTTTATAATTGTATTAAATAAGCTGTATGTGTTTGTGATAGAAACTACTTTAATATGTAATATCACACATTTATTGCACTTGTATGTGCTTCTCTTTACACTTACAGTGAGAGGAAAGTTTAGCTGTAAACATTTATGAATAATAAGAGATGAATATTTTAAATATATTGACACTCTGGGGTAATGTTTGTATCATTTAAGACAGGAAGTAGCTCAGTTTTACTGTATAAAATGACAGCTCATTCATTCCTGGTCGTTAATTCAGATATCATCACTACAACTTGAATTGTGACATTTCTGGTGAATGTTGTGTAACATTATTTCCCTTTTTTTTTGTTTTAAGACACAAGAAGCCATTTCTGAGTTTGCTCCTTTTTTAGTGTTATTTAATTTTTGTTAATCTATCTAATGAGTTTGGTCACATCTGGTTGGAAATCACTTTCAGCCACTTCGTAGCCAAGGCTGCAGCACTTAATTAGATCAGGTTTGTGTGTAACGTTATAGGAAATTAATCCTGAAGATAAAAACCTTTATCTGGTCAGGATATCTTTAACAGCAGGGTGAACAGAATGGTGTGCAGAAAACAGACCAAAAATAAATCTGAATAATAAAAACAGCAGGTTTAGGTTCAGTCCTGCTCTCTAAATATGAAAATAGGTTGAGAAAATAAAACACAAACAAGCTTTCTTGACGAATTTTTTTATGTTCCTCTTTTTGTAGATGAAATCAAAGAAGAACTGGAAAAACAAAAGTAAGTATTACTGTGACTGTAGATGGGATTTCACTGAGCTGACAGAAGTTGGTTAATTAGATTTGTGTTGTTCAAAGTGTCATAAAAATTAGATTTGTGAGTTTTTCCCTGCAGTGAACGCAGCCTGAGCTGCAGCCCACTGACATGATGCTTTTAACAGCCTTCAGGTGAAACCTCTGCTGACAAAAGCAAGCAGTTGTTTCTGATTTTTGTCATGTTTAAAAGCAAAAACTCTGCGTTTTTAAACCACTTGCTGTAAAATAATGTAAAGTATTTTGTGTTGAACAGGATTCCAAATACTTAATGTGCACCAGGTTGTTTATTTACTAAAACCCCTTTAAGTTTGCTCTGGTTTGTTTTAGCAGCACTAATCTTTGCACAGGTAATGTCCACATGTGGATTTATGGTTTCCAAGTGTTTTAAGTCTTATTCATTATATTTTGAAAAGGGTTATATACTGTTTAATTAAAAAAAAAAACTCCAAACAAAGGGGGAAAAAACCAAATTTTTTCTGTTCTGGACTCTGAAACAACAGCAGCTGCTTTCATATTTACACTTCTGATGAAATCTCACAAGTGTTAGCATGTACAGACTCTACTTTAATAATCTTAGTATCAAAATAAAGCTGAGACACTCAGTTACATTTCTTCATGTTATTTTGAGCACAAATGTCAACTCCTTGGTGCTAAAGAGGTTAAAATCATCCGTCTTTTTTTAAACCTTTTTTCTTAACAACTGTTTGTTTTCCAGGGATGGTACAGTGGTCCCACCCAAAGCAAACTACATCGAGGCAGACAAATACGTCCTGCCGTTTGAGCTCGCCTGTCAGTCAAAGTCACCCAGGATAGTTAGCACCTCTTTGGACTGTCTGCAGGTCAGTGTCCACTGATGCACACCATCACATCTGTGTCCTTTGGTGTCTTTTCCACTGGATAATATTTGGAGACCAGGGAGGTGAAGGGTCAGCTTAATGATGGTTTGCAATAAAATGCTTTCTCAATTTTTATTTTTTATTTTGGTCTCTCTCCCATTTCTTTGTTTTGCATTTCAAAACTCTACTTAGAACCTTCTTAAGATCTAACAGTGCAAAATGTGAACTGTTTTTTCAACTGGTCAAATTTTGATCAGGGCTGTATATGTATTAGCTTGGGTGCTAATGCTATACAACCATATAAATATATTAGCTCTAGTGCTAATGCTATGTAACCATATATAATAAATTTATTAGCTTGGGCGCTAACGCTATATAACCATATAAATGTATTAGCTCTAGTGCTAATGCTATATAACCATATATAATAAATGTATTAGCTCGGGCACTAATGCTATATAACAATATAAATGTATTAGCTTGGATGCTAATGCTACATCTCCATATAAATGTATTAGCTCGAACGCTAATGCTACATTGCCATATAAAGTTACTAGCTTAGGTGCTAATGGTATACAACCATATGAATGTATTAGCTCAGCCCTAATGCTATATAATCATATAAATGTATTAGCTCGAATGCTAATGCTACATTGCCATATAAAGTTATTAGCTTGGACGCTAATGCTATATAACCATATGAATGTATTAGCTCGGGTGCTAATGCTACATGGCCATATAAATGTATTAGCTCGTGTGCTAACATGAAAGCTAACAGGCTAAGCTGGGGATTTCCTTCCATGCAGCAGCTCTGTTCTCCATTTTCAGTTGCAGACTGACTCATTTCTACATTCTCCTCTCTGTCAACCAGTATGCTTTGTAGAGTCAACAATATGGTGTTGTTTGTGTGACGATATTCTAGTTTTGTTTCACAGTTAAATGTTTATCAAATAATGTCTGTTACAGCTGGTCAGGGTTCCCTGAAACTATGTAGGATTACACCATCTGTTTGCCCTGTTCGTATTTATTTCACCTTTGTGTTGAGGTGCAGTCATAAACTCATGCTCTAATCAACTAAATTCAGAAAAACAACAAATGTTTAACAGTGTTGCTCAAATAAACTCTAAACTCTTGACACCTCCTAACAGATCCAGAACATGTTAGTGCAATAATCCCCGCGGATTTAAACCTGAAAGCCAAATAAATCTGTGACTCATTGAATAATTACATCCTCACCTTGCTCCTGCYGCCCTGACCTGTGCTCCATCTCCTCACCGTAGAAGCTGATCGCGTACGGTCACATCACAGGCAACGCCCCGGACGGCAAAACCCCGGGTAAGAGGCTGATCGACCGGCTGGTGGAAACCATCTGCAACTGCTTCCAGGGTCCTCAAACCGACGAGGGGGTCCAGCTACAGATCATCAAGGTACACCYGAGGCCTCTGCCGCCATCTGGCAGCTTTCAGATCCTCCACCTGTCAGTTTTTTATTATTTACCTCACATCTCAAAATATCTCCGAACTGAGACTCCCAAATATGTCACAGATGTTATTGTGTGCATTGTGAGGAAGTGTTTGTGTGTGGAGTTAAAGCACTGTTCAAACATAAAGTTGTTTAAAAGAAAGTGTAAAGAAATTAACAAAAACCTGTAATAAATAGTATTTAAATTGTTATTTCCATTAGCGGTTATTCTAATAAGGAAGTAGAATAGTAAAAATTGTGCTATACTAAAGTGTTCTGAAGGTTATTTAGTTTTTGTTTTTTTGATTTTTTTACACATCCTGGTTGGCAGTAAAAGGCAAAATCAGTCCTGCTAAAGCTTCTTGTTTTATCAGTGTTGACAAAGGTTTATGGATGGATTATTAACACCTGATGGACTACGTTCACTGTTTAAGACTTGATTCTAAGTGCAGACAGGAAGTTTATTATTTCACTAAAGGTTGCATGTATTTTTATTGTGAATTTAGATTTAAACGCAGACCCAACGCACTGAAGATACAGTAACAAGTGTGTAGCGAGTGTTTAACAAGCTTCAGATAGAAGGAAGTGAGCTGGTGATTCAGCAGGTGCAACTTCCTGTCTGATAAGAGCTTCTACTTCCTCTTCTGCCCGTCCAGGCCCTGCTGACGACGGTGACGTCCCCGCACATCGAGATCCACGAGGGCACCGTGCTCCTCACCGTCAGGACCTGCTACAACATCTACCTGGCCAGCCGCAACCTCATCAACCAGACCACGGCCAAGGCCACGCTCACGCAGATGCTCAATGTCATCTTCGCACGGATGGAGAACCAGGCTGTCAGTTTGACCTCCTTACTGCTCCGAACACCTCCCAATCAGTACAGAAGGAAAAAATGAACAATTTAATGCTTTGTTTTAAACTTACAGCATACATTATAAACTAGAATCCTCCTGACCCTTTTTGGTTTAAAGGGATAGGGATGTTTTACAATGGAGTACTTACGAGCAAACAGTGTTTTACCTGCAGCAGATAGCTGTTGGAGTTATTTCAGTTAGGATTTGTTTTTCGTAGAAGTCAAGCTAGCAGCAACATAAACCTAAAGTTCTATCATTTCAAGCTAATGTTGGGTTTTTACGTCACTTATTCATGACACAGTTGTAGCCTTGGCTGCTGTTTTCTTAGTTTTGGTGATAATTTACATATCACGACACAGGGGTTACGATATGACATATTGTGATATATCAAAGCGCGTCGCGATATGAGATATCGTGATATATTGCGATACTGTAAGCGAGGCGATATATTGCCATCTTTTAATACAAAGGATTCTAATTTTAAAAAATTCAATACAAAAGTACACTATGCTTAAATCTGCATAAAACCTTGTTAAATTTTTTTTGCAATTAGAACACTGAACAGGGAGAACTGCATTTTGTATTTAACATTTCTTGCAAAATCTATCCATTTTCTACCGCGTATTCCTTAGCAAAAAATATCAGTGACATGTTGACAACCTTAGCAAATGAAGTAAATCACTAGCTGTGTTTCCATTGACCATGAAAATGCGCAAATTAGAATTTCGAAAATAAATTTACTCAATGGAAACACGTCAATTTCGAAAAAAATTACGTTTTTCGACAAAAYGTTTTTGCGCTAGGATGAGGTGCTATTTCAGCCGTATCGAAATTAACATTTTTCGCAAAACTACAATGGAAACACTTTTTTCGCATCACGTGAGTCACGTGATCAACAACCGGCTGTTTCTACTGGCGAAAAAGACGATGACGAAGAAGATAACAGGAAGTAGAAATATTAGTAATATCACTGAGGATGGTGGCAACTTCAGTGTTTGAACTTTAAGAGTTAACTGAACAAAATCCACTGTCTTCACGTTAGCTGCTAGCTAGCTGTACGTCGTCGTGGTTGTCGTCTAGCCATGTGAACTTGAAGATTCGTCAGGTCACATGAATTTTTGACTCTGGCATGGCAGATTTTGCAAACAATAGCTTTTATCATAATTCTTTCTATCTTTATTTTGAAACCTGAAATGAGTCCACACCTCAGCTTTGAAGGCAGCAGGTGTCTGTCTAATCTGCTCAGAATCAACYGTCTGTACTTGTTGCTAATGTTTAAGTTAGCATTAAACTCTCAGGCTCCTCATTAGGCCTGTTGTGATAAACAATAAAGTTAGTCACAAAATAAATTAAAATGAGGTATACCATTATATTTGTTTTAAAATAGTCTCCAAACAATATTATCGTTTATCGAGATAATTTCTGAGACAAAATATCGTCTAGCAAGATTTATGGAATGGAGGAACAAAATGACTGACCGCTGCCAACTAGTGGTCCGAGGCTAAATTACAACACAAAAATTAGCCCCTGGAATGAAAGTTCGAAGCCTTAATTAAAAATCGATACGATATCAGGAAATTAAATATCACAATATTTGAATGTATCAATATTTTCTTGCACCTGAGTACACTGGCATTAATGTCTATTTACTGCTTTGTGTTTCATTGATTTATTTTACTTGGAATAAAATAAAAGTTCTGGTAAACAGACTGATAAAACTACTACTACCTGCTGTATGTGACTCTTCTTCTATGGTTTCCTCAGGCCCTGGAGGCTCAAGAGCAGGAGAAGGAGCTTTTGCGTTTGCCCCAGCAGAACCCGTCCCCTGTCCCAGGCGGCCGGAGGTCCGGGTCCCCCAGGTCTGACCGGACCCCTACCCCCGAGCCCCAGAGCTCCCCGTCCCCCGGAGACAGTAACTCTGACGCAGCCCCCACCCGCTCGACGCCCCCGCCACCAGCTTCTGATCAAGACATGCCTTCAGTCAACGGAGAGCTCAACGGTGGCGGGTCGGAACAGCTCACACCATCGAGAGGTGGGTTGACGTTAGACCAGAGATTCTTAACCTATGGGCCGCGGCCCA